GCCGCTTGGGCCGAAAATAAAGTGGCCGAACGAATTAAAACGAATATTTCACATCGCAGTGTGAAGTTCGTCGAAGTCGTTCAACACTGCCGGACGTTGACCGATAGCATTATTATCGGCGCGGAGCGTTTTCGTCGGCAATCGGCCAGTGAATTATTAGGCGCTATCGTCGCTGATATTAATTTTAGTATGTTTTAGTAATTGACATTTATTATTTATTAATAATCGGCAAACGTTAAACGACCGACGTTATTGTCTAACGTTATCACAAAAACAGCGATATTGACCGCCCTGCGTAAATAATTAGTGCGGCCAAATTGATATTCGACCCAATTGGAAATCGCGTCCTTCCAGTTTCATTTCTCGTCCGTTTCGATTTCAATCTCTGCGCTCTGTTAGAAAGAAGGGAAGAAAGAGACGGAGAGAGGAGAGAATGGATTTATCGTGGTGTTAAATGGCTCGAATTGGAGCGTCGTTAATTTGTTAATTGTTTGACGTAGATAAATTGTAGGTTTGCGAGAAGAAAGGAGGGGGAGGGGGGAGGGGGGGCGTAGCGAATCGAAAAAAGTTGGCCACCTTAAGAACGCGATGCTGGCAGCTGTACATAATCAAAAAATGGAACAAAAGGAGTGCTCCACTTTCCACCGATTGTCCGGAGTTTGAAAGAAAGTAATGTTGTAGAAAATCAGGCCGTTATACAGGCCCGCTAAAATGAAACGCGAAACTGCTCCATTCAAAAAAAGAAAAAAAAAAAAGAAAAAAAAGGAAAAAAAATTGTATCTCTAATCTGCCAACTTTACTACTCCTCCCATAAATTACAATACACACGAATTTCCCTTGGTTTCATTTTCTCGATTGTCATCCCCGTCTTTTCTCTCCTTAACGCGAGCTTTCCTCTTTTTTTTCTTTTTTTTTTTTTTTTTTTCTTGCTTTCAATCCGAACAAAAGGCTTCGCCATTATGTTTATTACTGACTTCGATATTATCCTTGACACCAGTGGTTAGGATAAAATGCACATCGATTTAGAAACTTAAAGTTGATTCCAACAAGAGTTTGCAGATCTAGATAAAAATGTTCGTTTCAAGCGAACCTTTATTCTCGCTCGAATCGATTAAGCAGCGAAACAGCGCTCGAATTACAGAAAAATTCAAAGAAAGTCTCGGTAAATTATTCAGAAATCCAAAGAATCTCTTCAAAGATTATTTACGTTTGAGAAAGTAGGAACTTCATAAAAATTGGCTGAGGCAACATCATCAAAATTAGAGGCGCAAAGCGCTGCACGCTCGAAATATTAAAAGCAGAATTTTGAATATTCAAAGGTTAGATACACTGTCTCGTGTAAAGTTTTTGTGTAACAACTTCGGTAACTTTTGCAATTAGCGAGAATCTGTCATTACAGGGGATCTCTCAAGTTTCCTCCGCAACTTTAAAATATGCAGGGCTATCTTTACAAGGTAGGAATTCCCATAAACGTTTACCGAGAACCGCCTTTGTACCATTAAACAGGGCCACCCTCTTAATCCTGAGGTTTGAGAAAGGAACTATAATCACGTAGCCTATAGATAAATCATTTTCATAATCTCTAGGCTCTGGATAACGTTACAGTGTAAGCATTCATTAATTATTACCTTTTACGTGGTTATGATTTTAATTTAATTTCATTATATTTCACTTAATTCTTGTTTCATATGATTGTTACGTCAATATTTACTATATTTCGTTTTATAAACAATTAAATTTCTAATTATGGTTTACTTCGACGTTCTTATATATATATATATATATATAATTTGGTATTTTACTTTTATATATATATATAATTTATTATTTTACTTTTATATATATATATATATATATATATATATATATAATTTGGTATTTTACTTTTATATATATATAAATTTTTATAAATATAAAAATATAAAAAGTTAGTAAATATATATATAAAAGTTTTTATAAATATAAAAATATAAAAAGTAAACATATATATAAAAGTTTTTATAAATATAAAAATATAAAAAGTTAGTAAATATATATATGAAAGTTTTTATGAATATAAAAATATAAAAAGTTAGTAAATATATATATATATATATATAAGTTTTTATAAATATATATTATATATATATAAGTTTTTATAAATATATATTATATATATAAAAGTTTTTACTTTTATATATATATATATAATTTGGTATTAAAAGAATTTGTAATTTTGAATTTACAATTTATTTTATTTCTCAGACGAAAATTGTCAGGAAAATAAATAAGAAAGTTCCACATTTCGCCTCGCACAGCCAGTGGATATATTATACTTTATATATTATACTTTCAAAAGTTATATTTCTTGAAACTTGAAAATTCGTCATTGACGGGACAGCTCGTAAATTCGAAAGTCGCCACAAATCCAAAAATATTGTACTATGTCATTAACATTTTCGAGCGTTCAATTAAAATATATCTTTTCGAAATATTTATTCAAACTAGTTAAATTATATTAAACATCTGAAATTATCTGTACGAAAGTAACAAACAAATAAATTTGAAAACTTGTACTCGCACAGAAATAATTCACAAGTAAAGAGATCTTGCATCATACTTCATTGGGGGATTCTTTAATCTGATTCGAATCCATCGCGATGCCGATAGGGAGTGTTTACTTTTTATCTCGCAAATGGCATAGCCGCACAATGTCGTTTTCATACAGACGTCATATACATTTCCAGTTGCTATGCTTTCCTTATCGTGCCGCCATTCTGTGGCATCGTATACGATGCTCCTTAACGATATCAGCCGCGTACAATAGCATTCGACGTTGTTTATAGACACGCTGTTATATTTCTGAACCGAATGGACTTTCGCGCTTTTAACAGGTTTTCGTTTGTGAATAACGTATGGAATGTACGCGGGGACTGTGGTCTCGCGACACGATCACAATGCAGCGTACGTTCTGGAGAATTTCATACGATTGGGAAGAACGTTGTAACAGTAAATAATTCTTGGGATTTGCATAAACGTCAGACGAACGCGTTATGCATTTGAAAGTTCGCGCTTCTTCGTTCGTTAAATACAAATAAAGTAAAATGAAATAAAATGTCGTGTAAGGAAAATAATTTTTTCTTTCTTCAAACAAAACACTATGAAACAATGTGAACTTTTTTTTATTGAAATAAAGTACTGTTGAAGAAATGAAGAAAAGAATTCGTTTTTTTTTTTTTTTCATAATTTTATATTTGAATACGTATGCTTCGTCTGTCTCTGTAGATATATATCTTCTGCAGTATAAAAGTTACTATCTATCGATAATATATTCTTCTCACAAGATATGATGACACAGATGAGACACAAAAATGATACCGAATCACAGGACGATGATAGGTCTGTGACAAAACTCTTTGTCATTTTTGTATTACATTCTGCAATACCGATTCAGACAGGCTTTGCACTATAGCGCTACCAGCAACGGGAATTAAAATTGAAAAATATGGAAACTGTTGCCACATCTGCATCGAAAATGATTATTTGTCAAACTGAACCTGGTGGCTATTCTTAAAAGACGATTAATGATCAACTTCAAATTTTTGACTACGATACTTTGTAAATTCGAACCCTCAAATTACTGCGCCCGCAACTTATTGGATTGTAACCAGTAGAAACTCCTAAGTAGAATGTGCACGTGTGTGGTTAGGCACGCCTAAGTAGAATGAGTATGCACGTGGTTAGACACCTTTAAGTAGAAAGTGTCCGTAAGCGATCAGATATTCCCAAGTAGAACGAGTGTGCATGTGATCTGACATCCCAAAGCAGAATGAGTTCGTATGTGATCAGACATCTTTAGGAGATCTCGTTTCTGTCAGTATAATGTATCAACGACTGACAAAAGAAAGTATCACGCTACACGGATGTAGTGATTATGATGATAATTTAATTTATATCACAATATAAGTAAGAAGAACTCCGTAACTTTTAGTAACTTTTTATAAGCTACAGTAAATAATATTTAAATAACAATTGTATATAAGATAATGTCGATAACACAAATAACTGTTTTCCGCAAATGTTAATTAAGGAATGAATAACAAATTCTAAAATCGGTTCTATATATACATCTAAATAACTAAACATTTCCATAGTAAGAAATAAAATAACAGTTTATAAATATTTTTATGTTAAGAGTTTATGACAATGTCGGTTTATAGGAAACGTACTTTTCGACGGAACGATGTTTTAATGTAGATGGCGTTGATTTTGAAAGACACGCGCTGCCATCTATCGGATTTTTCCATTTTATCCTTTTAATTCCAGTCGACATTGAGACTACCTTAGATGGCAGCAGCATCGGTAGACAAGGAGAGCAATAGCGTGTTACAAGGACAAAGGATTTCTAGAAAAAATTCATTTTCACCGTCAATTCGTAACATTTCTTAATTACATTTATTCGTTCCCTGTTTTTCTTCTTCTATATTTTTTATATCATTCAAGCTTCAAAATGCACATATAAAATTTGCGCGTAACAAATTAACATGTATTATGCAGTAACAGTATTTTATAGAGAAGGATTTATTGTCCCAATAAAATTAATTTAAGATACAACTCTGTTCCATTTTAAATTTTAACGAAACCATGTATCAATCTTTAACACGGCACGTCGACGACTTAAATATACTGTTCAACAATTTATTAATTAAAAAAATAAGAAAAATTGAAATAAATAATAGTTCTCAGTTTCTGTGTAATTTATTTCGACATTTAATTCCTAAGTACAACCGTCACACGAAAACTTGATAATTTTGCAAATCATTCTACTGAACCGTTAGTCTTTATTATGTTTGTAACCGATTAATTCAAAGAAAATAGTTAGTAATTAATTTATCGCTAAATGTTAAAATTGCATTTATCCCCCAAATGCATTTAAAACTGTGCTCATTATTTGAATCGCTACACCCAGTTTCTTTTATCTCACGCGAAGAGCGCTACTAGAGTAATTGTAAGATTGATAACGCAGTCGAGTGACTTGCGTTTCAACCGCGACATCAAATTTTTCCTCTGGTCGCACGTATGTTACATGTGTCATCGGCGTTCGCTGTGACACCATCGGAGCTTTAACAATGGATAAGGATTTATTGCGGTCGGTGGATCTGTTGAAAGAGAACGAGGAACAGGTGCGGAACGACGCAGAGAATGCATTGTTAACTGTTTGTCAGAACATTCTGTCGCATCCGAACGACAAACAATATCGGGAAGTGAGGCTCGACAATCCTATGGTTACCACAAAACTGCTGCCTGCTCTTGGGGGCATCGAATGCCTGTTCGACATTGGTTTCGTCGAGGTAATTATACATACTTGCGGCAATATAATCGATCTTTCGTTGCATGAATTTTCGTGACGTGCTGTGCACTAACAGATTGAAACAGTTAGGTCATGATAACTAGCGTTTTGTTATCATATTTGTATCATAACCTGAATCGCGACGCAGTACAGAACATTTTAAATTTTCATACAACATTCATGCAAAATAACAATTTTTGATGCGACAGCAGAATATTTTTTTTTTTTTTTTTATTATGAATTGTAGTTTCTTTATCATGTTTCAATATTTTAGTCAACAGAGAAAAGCTTGATTTTTGACAATGAACGATGTAAGTTAGCGAGCTAACACATTTCTGTCTTTTAACAGACCACTGACTGTCTTTCCTTGCCACAAGAAGCGCCACTTTCAAAACTGCGAGCCCTACAGAACTTGCTTAACAAAAGCTCCTTACCAACCAAAGCACCAACTGTTAAAGACATAGCGTTGTACAATCTAATACCTGCGACATCTACAGAAAAAGAGAAAAGATTTTTCTTGTCTATTATAGAGTTCTTCCAGAATGTTTTGCGATTCGAAGATGCAAGTTTACAGGAGAAAGCTAAAAAAGTTATACCCATTGTAGATCTTGAAATTGCCACTATGACAAGACTTGGACAGTTGCACAAGTAATCAGTCAATCATTTAAACGTTATTCCACTGTTTTATATCCTCTTTGTTGTTCATTGCATCTTTTTGTTACAGGCACGTTAAATTATTTCAGACTGACTCGCAGAAAGATGTTGAGAAACAACAGGACGAGCATGACGATGCTAAAGATTTGTTCCTCATGGAACTGTTGCATTGGTTCAAGTATAAATTCTTTACATGGATCGATAGTCCAAAGTGTACTGCTTGCTTTTCAGAATGTAAACAGCAGGAAATGATGCTTTCCAATGATCCTAGATGTACACGAATAGAGATTCACAAGTATTTCAATGTGTTTTAATATTAAGAATGTATTTGAAAAACTTTCTGAAAAGGTTAGATTATTGAATGTCGTTCTAGATGTACTAGATGTGGAACACGAGTGAAATTCCCTCGTTACACTGACCCGGAGCCATTGTTAACTCTGAGACGTGGACGTTGTGGAGAATGGGCGAACGTGTTCACGCTTTTATGTCGAACATTAGGATACGACGCAAGATTTATATACGATCATACAGATCACGTTTGGACAGAGGTGTGTAATGGTCACTGCCCTTACCTAAATGGAAAATATGTGCAAAGGTACTCGTTAACTCATTGCAGTATAGAAATCGTTCACATAACAGTATTCTCACAATTGAGAAAAAAGAATTCGCAGCATCAAAGTAATTGAATGATTGATAATGTATCAATAACTTAGGTATGGTCCATACACGAAAAAAGATGGATTCATATAGACCCATGCGAAGACGTCATGGACAGGCCATTGATGTATGAAAAGGGATGGAAAAAGAAACTAAACTATATAATAGCCTGCTCAAAAGATGAAGTGCAAGATGTTACTTGGAGATATACATGCGATCAGATAGGAGTAATGAAAAGGAGGAACATCTGCTCTGAAAATAAATTGTTGCAATTTATCGAATCATTGAACAAATACCGTCAGTCTTCTCCACATTATAGTTCCACTCGCAGACAATACGTGATAAAACGAAGACTTTTAGAGCTCGTCGAACTGATACACGTACCAAATAAACGAGATTCTGACGATGATGAATATTACGGTGAACGATCCACTGGTTCTTACGAGTGGAGACGAGCACGAGGAGAAATTTCTGAAGTATGGAAATAGAATCATTTCTTAGTTAACAGTAATTTACATGTAACATTCACAAGATAAAATCTGTTCTTAATTAAATTTTTTTAGTCGAATACAAAGATAAATTATTCTTGGGACGTTTCAAAGTACGGAGAAGCATTTCATTTGCAGTATTCTGTTGTTAAAGATATGTATAAGATAACGGATGATAATGGTACAGTATTAATGGAGATATCTGGTTGGCAATATGGAACGAAGGAATTCGAAGGTGGAATGTTTCGTAAAGTAGAGCACGACTGGAAGATGACCTACTTATCTCGTTCTCCAGGTACTATTTGTGGTAAGATAAAATGGTGCTTTGTAGTCGCAAATCCAAACCTGTACCTGAAAACGTTTCATTTACAAGCAACTACAAAAATATTTCACGAAGCTAACATATCGTGGGATATAGAAGCTCTTTTTGACAACGCAAATCAAAATAAATCTGTAGTTCTCCCAATTAACGATGTTTCTAATTATCGTACGTACCAATTGAAAGGGGCGACAAAGTTAATTCTCACAGCAACTGTTTCCGGTGGTCAAGGTGATAGTGCGTGGCAGCACGCACAAATTTTTCGGCAAAATTTGGAAAACGAAGACGATAGATCTTTAGTGATCGATATTGAATTGGAAAATCGATAATTTTAGAATTCAGATGTATAATTTCAACTAGAAATTTTATATTTTATATGAATGCTTTTAATCAAGTTTTATCCGTTACACGAATGATATATTTTAATGAATACGACTTAATCAAGTTTTATCCGTTACACGAATGATATATTTTAATGAATACGACTTTTACTGGAAAAAAAAAAACATATCGACAGTAATAATTAATTTTAAGATTAGTAAATAAAAACATTCCGCATTTTAAATTTCTTGTTTTTGTTAAACTTATGACGCTTTACAAGAAAATTTTCGACAGTTATGTAGTAAAACTGTAAATGTTTATGTTCAATAAAATGATAAAATTAAACTGTTGACTTATGTTGCAAATAAGTATGGTCTTCCTTATGACTTTGTAAGCTTCAAAATTTTTATTTCATATACAAAATAAGCGAACTAGAGTGATGGCACTTTTTGGAGACATTCATATCCCATAGATGTCACGCAATTGTTTAACAATGTAAGCATTGATAATATATGAACACAATTTATCTTCATATATTTATGTTTTCTTTTTCTTTTTTTTTTACACGCATACATCGAATGTCATATAAAAACAGTATCTTACAACTGTTACATTATAGTTGCTTACATGTGCTCCAAAAGTATTCATTACCTTTACTATTCTTTTCATTCTTAATTGTACACAATAATAGTAAGTCGTTGTATCTTATTGAATAATAATAATAGTTGCAAAATACTGATATAATATATTGAATTCACATAACATATATACTTTTAGAACGAAATTTGAATAGTTTACGCATTCTCAATACGAGAATAACTAAAATGATTATAAATAACTTTGTACAATAAATATATGTATAGTTTAATAAAACTAACAGTACAATTTGCCGATAATAAAATTATCGTTAAATTAAATGGAGAATGTGTTGCATTCATGTTTGAAGAATGCAGAAGGAACGTAAAATATATTTATATTACACATACAAGGAGTGCAACGTTACGATTAATCAAAATAGAGAATAGATTATAATGCATGTTAAATACAATTTCTTTTACGCGTTTTTTGGTTTCAACTAATTTTTCTATCAAGTTGTATAACTTCCATATTAATGGAACAATAAATTTCAGCTCAACGTTATTTACATGTTGTTTAGCATATATTTTTATCCCAGCACCAATAAAGCCTTTAATGCCGTCCTAGTGTTTTGTGTGTGTATACGTTCGTATGATTAATACACTTCATACATATACATACAAAAAATATTCAATTATCTACATCGTCACAGAACATTCATAACTATTTAAGTAATAAATTAGCCACTCAGCCCTTTGTATTAATACTAAATAATGTTGCTCGAAAAGGACGTATAAAATAACAGATAGGCACTGGTGTTCTGAGATCTTACTTGACTCACAGTTACTTCCGTCACTGTGTGGTCATCATATTTATACCATCTGAAAAGAAATCATATAGTTAATATTATTACTTTTAATAATTGAAGGGATGCTGGACTGATGAAGGTAATTTTCTCAATAATTTTAGTAAAACAACAAGAATCAATTCCAAATCAATTGAATCATTTTTGTAAATTCATAGTCAATATTCATGGTAATAAACAATTGCATTTTTAAGTATGAAATTTATGTCTTTACAACTTAAGTTATTTCTTGTCGCTGCAAATCCTTCAATTATCATTTTGTTGGAACTATTTACTTACTTATTCTGAGCCGCGTTTTTACAGAATGCCGTGTAATGGCCACCTTCCATGGTTCCATAATGATTAGACATTGCGTATAAACTGTAACTGTAACTGTAACTGCGAATGTTCGTGGCACTACTAGTATCAGCTACCAAGTACGGTTTCAAATTGAAGTCCGTGAGAGGAAAATCAACCGCAGTGTTTCGTTTTTCGAGCCATCCGCCGCTCTCAGCGAAACGATTTAAATGTATGACTATAATAGGGGCCAACTTCACGAAATCGAACTTCTTCGTAGCTTCCCGAGGCGTTTGACACTTTGGACATTTCCAGCCTACTACCTTTTGCCCACTTACAAATTTTAAGATACAATCCTATAAAAGCAATGGACTTGTTTAATGTACATGTAGAGATAAATTAGAAAATAGAAACTTACGTTCAGTGTACACCGATTGGCATGGGGTAACGATGTTGTTAAACTGTTGAAAGTCTCGTATGTGGTACTACTTTGCTTGCAAAAGCTGCATATTATAGTGGATTTTAGCTGGCCGAAAAACAAGTCTGAAATTATAGATCTTTGGGATCCCATCGCTTTGTCCCAAGCCTTCTCAGCAACTGTCATTTCCAGAGGCACCTTACAATTCTGTTAATGTAAAAACGAAATTTGATGAACAATGAAAGATTTGGCTTTATTGTAATAATTAATCGTAACGCGGTAAGATGTTACCTTCTTTAGATCATTGTGCATCCAATCTAAGAGAAAAGTGAGAAACTCATGAGAATCCTGTTGTTCGTAGCTGTCAAATTGTAATTTGTATTGTCCAACGGCGATCTGACAATTATGATATATATATTAGTTAAATCTTTAAAATGCGAATTAATTACAGAAAACAAAAATTAAAAAAAAACAAATTTGAAAAGCACGAAGAATAAAGTAATAAAAGTTATAGCTCTTTATAGTTATTCTTCTTACGAATTTTTTTAATATAAGAGAAATGAAAATATCAAACCTTGAGATCAAGTGGCGATATACTTTTATATTGACCTCTCCACAGTGCTTTAATCACTTGAGCTACCTCTTCCACGACTTGACCCTGTGTGTTGTTATCGTTATTGGTGTTCAGATCGTCAGCGTACAAATTGTCCATGAAGTATTTGGCTAAATGCGTAGTATTACTTAAGCATTGTATAATGCTATTCATATAACATGAGTTGCCTAAGTTCTTTAACCCTGTAATGCCAGGATGCTGTAACACAGTAGTGAAAGAAAACACTGTATACCCAATACTTTACACTTTATTGATACATGTTTGAAGAAAAATTAAAATTATTTTTAGCAACTTTTTATACGACAAAAATTAGTAACTTTACTCCTTTTTAATTTCATTTATATTTTTACGTTTAATATTTGTCAATTACCTTTTTAAAATAATAAACATTAAAATTCGGCACAAGTTTTCTAGACAAATTTACCATCTTTCACTTACACTTTATTTGATTATAAATTGTTTATCACATGTTTAACCACGTATCTCAAGACACAAGACCAATCATAATTTTACACTAATTTTACACTACAATTTTGCTGATCAGTGTATTTATAAATTTAACTCCGACTCGCGCGATCGTAGAGTTAAATTAAAGTTGCGATAAGGAACGTCACCATAACACTTGGTGACGATAGTCAAACATATACTGATACATATTTGTGACGCGTTACTTCGAAAAGATTCGACTAAATTGGATTCAGAAGCCATACAGGTAGAAAATGTTTCTCTACTCACGTGTTTATTTTCCACGCAGAACCGAAAAATCACGCGACTTCATTCTATCGTAAAATTTCCAACTGCATTTTTTTTTTTTTTTCATTTTAACTACACTAACGAATAGTATACTTTAGTACAATAAAAGAATAATTAATGTAGCATTTAATGATATTTTATAAATTTCTACATGAGATATGCGTTATCCACGTGGCCGTCGAACACGTGGCTGTCAGCGATTATTAATGCAATTTTACACGCAACTATGATGAGGTGTAATAATGAGGCGTCGACTGATGTCGTTTTGAAAAGTTTTTTTCATGTTTTCTTTTAAGTTAATCTATTAAATCTTTTAAGCGACATTATCGATACTTACAACATTTCCATGAACAGGTGTCATTCTCTCTTCACGATTCGCCCAACTCAGATGAGATATTTTATTATCGCTATAAGCTCCATTTTGATTGTACGACGAGACTTGTGGTTTCGAACTTCTGTCTACTTGCGGTGCTTTACGATCTGTCAACTGAGCAATTTATATTTTTGTCAAGTTACATTTACTTTTCAAATTAAAATCTTTTTTTTTTTGTTAAATCAAATGTAGAAACCTGAAGCAAATTTGGACTGGAATATGAGCGCTCTAAATTCCCTCCCATCGATGCACTATCCATTTTCAAAGGTTCCTTGTGGATATTATTTTCATTCTCATTTATCGACAATTCCTTGTAGTTATTTTTCATAGATATTCTATTGGCGAAAGATATATACAATATAGTAAATGAAGCAATTTTTCAACATCATATTTTTGTACTCACTCTCGTAATTTCTCCCGATCCGCAGAAGTATCTTTCATTCGCCGTTTTAGTATAGCGAGGGTAAATTCCAGATTTCCTTTCTCATTTTCTTCTGCGGGACTGTACTTAATTGATTTCTCGCAATATTTAGAGAGTTCATCTTCAATCTTTTTATATTCTTTTTGCTATAAAAGAAATCAATTATACTTTTAATTATAAATTAGGACTATTTAAATAAGAATGATTTATTAATTAAACATGTTCAATACCTTATCTTCTAATTTCGAGCACAAAGACTTCACATGATCATGAATATATTCTTCCTCCTTCAAACCTTTGTACTTAATGTCGTGTTGCATATATAAAGTGCGTTCTCGCTCTAAAATTTCTTGCTCCAACTCCTGCTTATTCTTTGCATGCTCGTTTAACTGTTTCATTAATTTCAAAACTGTTTTCGATTCAGTCGTGTCCAAAGAAACTGGTTTGCTACTTCTATCTATTATTGGCTTCGTAGGCATGCCGTTCTTCAGGCTAAGACCCAATGTATTCTTGTGCTGAAGCTTCAACGAATTGTTATCGTATTGTCGCGAACTCATGTTGTTTTTAAGGATTTTATCTGCTTCGACAGAATTATTCATAAAACTCTTAGCATGCATAGAAATATTGTCACTTATTTCTGAGTCCATGTGTTTGTACCACATTTTATCATTCATAATGCTAACTTTCGACGCGGTTTCGTCTCTGTTTATTGATTTCAATTTGATTAATTTATTTTCACGCGACCTAACAATGTTCTCCTCCGCATCCAAGTGCATCAATTCAGGGTATTCTATGTTATCTAATATCTCGTCTGCAATGTCGTTTAAAGCAGGCTCGACGATATTAGGATTTGTCGTAAATGCCGGATAACGAGTTAA